CATTAGTTCCACCGGTTCTAGCCATCATGGTTAAGACCCACCCATGCCACGCCCATTGTAGCGAACCACCCTTACTCCCTTCGTATTCCATTGGTGAGATGCAAGTTCCTCTCGAGCAGCTTTGTCACAGGAACCGCTATTTTGTGGAACCGACTCCCAAGAGGTTGCTTCCCTATCACTATTTCTCAGATCACTATAATCTTAACCTGTCCAAACGTAAATTTTCTTGTTTCTTAATCATTTGCTTAGTTTTTAAAAGGCATCTTTCGCTATTGTAACATGCCTTCGCATGTGTCACATTTTGTCTTCTGTTGAAATACTTTGTAGATATTTAAATTTCTGTGCTCGCTTGATATCGGTTTGATCACCAATTCGTAACGTGCATCTTGTTTTTTTTCTCTTGCTGAAAACCATGCATCGTGTTCTTCTTACAATTTGAATTTCGTCCTTCCTTCTTTATCTCCATTATTACCTTGTCTAGAAGATCTTGTGCCACTCCAGCAACTACCTGACTCCTCCTGCTATCCTCTACCTTTACAAGAGCCAGATCAGGCCGAAAATGGAGAATCGCCACCATTTATGACCAATAGCTATTCAGCCTTCAATCTCCAGTTTCAGTAGAATCCAAAAGCATCTTCGCGTCCTTGTGGATGATGAACTATTTTCCACCTTACAAATTCTTTCTGAAAGATGTCACAAGCCTCTCACTGCTCTGTTGTTATTTCCATGGAAAGTGTTCAAATGAAATACATTCTTTAGTTCTACAAGTTCTAACCTTCATGGCTTAAAACCCACCATGCCACATACATTGTAGCGAACCAGCTTCATTCCCTTCGTATTCATTTGGTGAGATGTAAGTTCCACTCGAGCAGAGTCTTCCTTCGAAACACGGTTTGTGGAACCGGCTCCCAAGAGGACGCTTCACTTCTCACTACAATCTTAACCTGCCCAAGTCTACGATTAACCGTTATCTTCCATACATATGCATATAATCTGTGCATATATATAATATAATATAATTTCTTCAGGTGGCAAAGTGCCACCTGAAGAAACGTTAATTTAATGTTGAAACAAAATGTACAAATTTATAGTGGATATTTACATGTTCTAATGTAACAGTGCATAATAAATAAATATTTATTGCTCTACTTTTGTATCGATCCTTGTTTTAAATTAATGTTTTAAACGTTGAAACTCTATAATTTGCTTTTTACATTCATATATAGATAGATAGATAGATAGATAGATAGACTCGTTTCGAAAAACCCTCGAATTTTTGATTTGCCAATAATCAAATCAATCTCGAGGGAAAAAAAGGTTTTAAAAAAAGAAAGAGCTACAAACATGAACTTCTGCCGACAAAAAAAATCGCACAGATGCAGGTCTGAAGCCCAAAGAAAAAACCCCGATACGAGTAAACAACTAACTAACAAAAGAGCTCAATACAACTGTAGAGCAGACCTAGATACACCTAGTGAGCCAGACTTTCCCTGACGATCCGTTTTGGTGAAACCTAGGTAGGTTTGTCTGGCTCACTAGGTGTATATATATATATATATATATTTATTAAAGACATTTTTATGTTTAACGTTCTTTTTTATAGATACAAGTATTTAAGTAAATGCTCTGTTTATAATAAACAGTATTAAATAACATTTACCGGTAGGCAAGGTCGAATTTACTGCTTATAAACTTCAATCTTCAATATCATAACTGCTCTGGCGTATCAAATGTAAACAAATGACGTCATATATTAAGAAATGGACAAAGTCCGACAATTTATTTATTAAAGACATTTTTATGTTTAACGTTCTTTTTTATAGATACAAGTATTTAAGTAAATGCTCTGTTTATAATAAACAGTATTAAATAACATTTACCGGCCTGAATGTCCGAGAAATTTTCATAGAAAATATTCGTCCTTTGACAGGATTCGAACCTGCATCCTATACAGAACCGTCATTTACGCTGACGTGCCTAACCTCTCGGCCACAAAGGATCGTTCGATTGGCAAGGTATATATATATATATATAGTTAAACCTAGAGAGCCAGACAAACCTACCAAAGTTTCAGCTAAGCGGATCGCCAAGGAAGGCCGGTTTTCCGAGCGAGTATAGTTTCTTATACTTATAAGATTTCTATTAATAATATCTCTCTCTCTCTCTCTCTCTCTCTCTCTCTCTCTCTCTTTCTATATATATATATATATATATATATATATATATATATATATATATATATATATATATATATAACGTCTTTATGTAGCAGTGAAGATCTAGTAATTACAAAAATTTAAATATTTAGGAAGTCCAATTTGAATAGCGAAAGATGCCTTCTAAAAGTTAAGCAAAGTATTAGGAAACGAGAAAATTTAGTTTCTATCTATTTATCTGTCTCAGATTTCTTCCATCTGTTTCACTCTCTCTCTCACTCCCACAATGTCTCTCTCACTCTCTCATTCTCTCTTTATCAGATTCTCTCACACTCACTCATAATCTCTCACTTTTTCACTCTTTTTCTCAGTCACTCACTATCAGTCGCTCTCACTCTCTTCCACACTCTCTGTCACCCTCAATCTCTCTCACTCACTCAGTCTAATGTCGTTTGCACCCTCTTGCTCTTAATCTTACAATAGTTTAGATTTTTTTTAACCAGTTAATCGTCATTCTGCCAGTTTTAAACAAATCTCTCTCTATCTTTCTCACACACACGCGCGCATGCACTCGCATACACATA